TTCATTAGAATCCATATTATTTCTGGATTATTCCTGATTCCGACAACGAAAGGGGTTATTTGAGAAAGGAAAAAGATAAGATACGCATAACAAACGCAAGCTCCTCTTCTCAGTTCTAACACCATTTCTGCAATGCAATCACAGAAAATGGGAAAAAGTTACCTCCATCTCTTCCTCATCTTCAGCATCTGAAGGTTCATTGCATACGAATCCATATTATTTCTGGATTATTCCTGATTCCGACAACGAAAGGGGTTATTTGAGAAAGGAAAAAGATAAGATACGCATAACAAACGCAAGCTCCTCTTCTCAGTTCTAACACCATTTCTGCAATGCAATCACAGAAAATGGGAAAAAGTTACCTCCATCTCTTCCTCATCTTCAGCATCTGAAGGTTCATTGCATACTGCCAGTTCAAGCCGCTTAGTTTTATCTTTGCGCATAGCATCATCTGCCATTTCCATTGCTCTCTTAATTTCAGGCTTTGAACTATAAAACATACCTCCCCTCTCTGTTTCCTTAACTGCTGACCCTACAAATAATATGCAAATAATATGTCAGAACATGAAGCAAAGGCTAGCATGAGACCAGTCTTATTGTAGATGCTCTCTCCCCATTTAAATAAATATGGTTCAGACCACCAATATCATCCAGCATTTTTGAGATCTAATATGAGATTAAAATCAGATGGAACAAACACGTAAATGTATGTGTTCAGCCTGAAGTAGAGGATTAGTTTGTATTACTATCCAGTAAAAAGTGTACCTAGAGCACAAATTCTGGATAAATCTCACTTAGAATTGGATAGTCAGATCAAAACTAAGAAAATTTTAAACCAAGAATATAGTTAATTGCAAATGTTATGTTATATCTAACTGTATCTGTAATAGTTGAAAAATGACATTTTACAATGTCAGCATGGAAAGTCAAACTGAGACCATGATCTGGGAATGGGACCTATTCAACAGAGACTTATGCCCTTTCTGGGATCACTTTAAGAAACTGGGGTTGAATAATCCAGCTTCTACACACAGGTTTTTCAATTAGAACAGGGGGCACTCCCCACCGGGGGGTAGAGAAATGGAGACGCACAGCTGGGGCCAGCCCCTAAGGAAGGGTGGAACGGGAGTGCCACCCAATCTCTTCCCACCTCCAGTTCTACTCTAGTCCAGCCCCCAGCCTCGACTCTGGTTCTCTGCCCCATCCCCAGCACATCTCTGCTACTAGCCCTGCCCCCATCTCCAGCCTCAGCTGTAGCTCTATTTCCAGACCAGGGCCAATGCTGGGGACAGGGCCAGGAGCAGAGCCACATGTGGCCATGATCCCAGCTGTTAGCTTGACTGAAGCTCCACTCCCATCCCTCAGCTCAGTCCCTGGCCTCAGCCACATTCACAACCTCACCCCAGCTCCACAGGGGGGAGGGAGCACGGAAAGGGGTAAGGGGTGCTGCAGCCCTCAAGTCTGGGGACTACTGATTTAGAAGAACTTGCATACTTTTACAGCTTAGTATAAATGACTCCCCAATACTCATAGGTTATGTTCTCATTTATTCATCTGCTTAATAACTTTAATAATTGATGCCTTGCATGATCTTAACTGGGTTTGGTTTGGTTTACTGGTTTTATAAATAATACACAATGTTGTTATTCATGTGGCATTTCCATTTCTTATATTTATATATGTTTTTATATTTTATATAAAAAAAGTTAATAAAAGTCTTTTTTCCCCCCCGAAATTCAGTACAGATAGTCCCCGACTTACGAACGAGTTACATACCAAACACTTGGTCGTAACTTGATCTGTTTGTAAGTCGGACTCCATTCATTTAAATGTGACCACACTGTTCGTAAGCGAAGATCGTGCATTCATAACTCGGGGACTGGCTGTAATGCACTTAATGGGAGGTTGGTCGTAAGTACGAACGGTTGTAAGTCAACGCGTTCGTAACTCAGGGACCATCTGTATGTGTGATGAGAATAGTCTTAGCCAGCAGTAATGCAGAACAAAGTGTTTTACAATTATGACTAGAAAAACTAAGCTAAAATTGCTCATTGCTTTTAAATAATTTTTTTCTGAACTTGTAATTAAATATTTTTAATGTTATTATTCTAATTGCATTGCTCATTCAATACAAAACATCAGAGTATAAATATTTTACAAACACCCTACAATAAAACCTGTGTTATCCAGCACGCTTGGGGATTAGGGCGTTCCAATTATCTAAAAATTCCGGTTATCTGAGGGTCCCAGAAAGGTCAAGCACAGTAGCGCGCGACCCCCATGCCTCAGGGGCCGCCAGCTACCTGGCCCAGCTCCCGACTGGCTGGATCATAGTGGCGTGCCATGAGGCTGCGCCCAGCCTCGCGCCGGCCAGATCAAAGTGCCATGCAGCCGACCCTGGCCGGATCAAAGTGCCACGACCCTGGGGAGAAATATCCGCAACCATCACTGTTTTAGAAGATACTGGGTGGCTTCAGAAAGGTTAATGGTTAGTAGATTGGTGAACTGTATTGGCCTAATAGGAAATTTGCCAGTTTCTAAAGTTTTCCGGATACAGTAAACTTCCGATAATCTGGCACCTTTAGGACCCAGGGGGTGCCAGATTATCAAATATGTTGGACTATCGGCAGGGGGGGGCTATGAGGGGTTTGGAGTGGAGTGTGTGTGTGTGTGGGGGGGTGCCCTTCGGCGCTGCAGGACCAACCCAGCAGCACCCCAGCTGCTTTGCCCCGGCTTCCCCGAGTCAGCAGCAGCAGCTGAATCGGGGAAGCTGGGGGCAGAGCAGCTCCAATTGCCCAGCTGCCCGGAGCACTTCCAGGTTCCAGATGGTGCCGGACCATTAGATGCTGGACCACTGGAGTTTTACTGTAGTTAAGTGCCAGATAGCACAGGTTTTACTGTATTAAGGAACAATCCTTATCTTTGAACCCATAATATACATACAAAATATTTCGCAGTCATTTGGCCCCTACTACTGTCAGAGTCGCAAATATTGTGTTGACATTCAAAGGTCAATTTTTGGTTTAATTACACAATCATCTTGTTTGCATGTTCATTTGAGTAGACACAAAGGCCAATTCTGATCATCTGCAGATGTAAGGCTTGCAGTTTCACACATCTTATGTGCCCACATTATTTATATATATAAAATCTAGTGTCTATAAAGCAGATTTTCTGAACTATACCAAACAAAAGACCATATGTAACTTATCTACCTAGTTTCTTCCAAAAAGAGATTCTAAGAACTGTATTTATATTAAAAGGCAAATCATCTTATACCAATATAATACCTATTTCTTTACCTTTACCATCTTTAAAAGGTTAACCAAGAATTTCAAAATATTAAAAATGGAAATTTAAGACACTTTATTTTTTATTTAATTTTAAAAATGATTGATCTTATTTGCATCCTTCTGCATGTAAACTGAAAAAATGTTAATATATTAATCTAATGCTGTACTTAATTCTTGAATCGGTTTGCTATGAGGAAGATACAGAAGGTGTTGTAACCTGCACAGGATGTGCCATGTCTCCATATTGGAAGAGAAGGTTAAAGGACTAGAGACCCAAGTATCAACCCTGTGTTCCATCAAAGAAAATGAAGACTTTCTGGATAGGCGTGACAGAGGAGGAATCCTTGATTTGTACTGAGAAGTTAGGGCAATCAGCTATTTATCTAAGGCGTCGGTACATAAATGCAAGAAGCCTGGGAAACAAGCAGAAAGAATCGTATGTCCTGGAACAAAGAACTATGATTTGACTGAAATAACAGAGATATGATGGGATTATTCATATGACGGCAGCACTGTTGTGGACGGGTATAAACTGTTCAGGAAGGACGGATGTGGGAGAAAAGGTGAAGGAGTGTCAATGTATGTAAGAGGGCAATGTGATTGCTGAGAACACCAGTATAAAAACAGGAGAAAAGCCCGCTAAAGAGTCTTTGGGTTAAGCTTAGAGGTGTGAGCAATAAGGGTGATGTCATGGTTGGTGTCTGCTATAAACCACCAGATCAGGTGGATGAGGTAGACGAGGCTTTCTTAAGACAACTGATAGAAGCTTCCAGATCACAGGCCCTGGCTCTCATAGGGGACTTCAATAGTCCTGACATCTGTTGGGAGACCAATACAGTAGAACACAGACAATACAGCAAGTTTTTGGAAGATGTTGGGGACAACTCCTGGTAAAAGTGCTGAAAAAAACCAAACAGGGACCATGCATGCTCAGCTTGACCTGCTGCTCACAAACAGGAGAGGAATTAGTAGGGAAACTAGATGTGGGTGACAACCTGGGCAGCACTGATCATGAGATGGTCAAGTTCAAGACCCTGACTAAAGGAAGAAAGGAAAGTAGCAAAATACACTCCCTGGACTTCAGAGAAGCAGACTGACTCTCTCGAGGAACTGATGGGAAGGATCCTCTGGGACACTTAACAGGAGAGGGAAAGGAATCCAGGAGAGCTGGCTGTACTTTAAAGAAGCCTTACTGAAGGTGCAGTAAAAAAAAAATCCCAATGTACGCTTAAGATTTGAAAACAAGAAGACAATGCTTGGTTTAACAGTGAAACCTTTGGCAAGCTTAAACACAAAAAATCAGCTCACAAGAAGTGGTAACTTGAATAAATAATTAGGAAAGAGTATGAATATACTGCTTGAGCATGCAGAAGTGTAATTAGGAAGATCAAAGCGCAATTGGAATTGCAGTTAGCAAGGGATGTGAAGGGTAACAAGAAAGGTTTCTACAGGCTTTTTAGCAATAAGAAGGTGGTCAGCAAAGGTGTGGGATCTCTTACAGTATGTGGGAAAAGAAGAAATACTCAATGCTTTTATTGCCTCCAGCTATGTCTAGACTGCAGGCTTCTTTCAGAGGAAACTTTTCCGGAAGAGATCTTCTGAAAAACCTTCTTCTGAAAGAGAGCATCTACACAGCAAAAGCGCATTGAAAAAGCAATCTTTTTCGAAAGATAGTGTCCATTCAGCGTGGATGCTCTCTCGCATTTAAGCTGTGAGTGCTATGGATGGTGGCCAGTAGGGCACCTGTGCTTTTTCCACTTTCATCTTCTTTTGAAAGAACTCCCTCTTCCCCATCCCCACACGCCTTTTTCCAAAAGTGCTCTTTTGGAACAAGGCTTCTTCCTTGTAGAAAGAGGTTTAGCAATGTCAGAAAAACCCCTCTGTTCTTTCAATTTTTTTCTCGAAAGAATGCGATTGCAGTGTGGACATAAGTGACTTTTTTTAGGAAAAACAGTAGTTTTTCTGAAAACATTCTGCAGTGTAGACATACCATCTATTTTCTCAGACACGATCTTCTCCCAGACCACTGCACTAGCCAGCACAGTATGGAAAGGGGGTGCGCAGCCCCTCAGTGGAGAAAGAACAGTTTAAGATCTCTTTAGAAAAACTGGACACACACAAATCCATTGGGCTGGATCTAATGCATCTAGAGTGCTGAGGGTGTTGGCTAATGTGACTGCAGAGCCTTTGGCTATTATGTTTGAAAACTCATGGTGATCATGGGAGGTCCCAGACAATTGGGAAAAGCCAAATGTAGTGCCTATCTTTAAAAAAGGGAACAAGGACAATCCAGGGAACTCCAGACCAGTCAGCCTCACCTCAGTCCCTGGAAAACTCATGGAAGGGATCCTCAAGGAATCCATTTTGAAGCACTTGGATGAGGGGAAAGCAATCAGGAATAGTCAACATGGATTCGCCAAGGGCAAGTCATAACTTGTCATAGAAGGCAATCAGGTAAGTGGCTCTGTGGATATGGGGAAGTGATATATCTTGGATGTGGTGTACCCTGACTTTAGCAAAGCTTTTGATATGGTCTCCCATAATATTTTTGCCAGCAAGTTAAAGTATGGGTTGGATAAATGGATTGTAAGATGGATAGAAAGCTGGCTAGATCATCATGGGTCAACGGGTAGTGATCAAAGGCTCGATGTCTGGTTTTAGGGCCGGTTTTGTTCAACATATTTATTAATGATTAGATAAGGGGATGGATTGCACCCTCAGCAAGTTCAGAGGACACTAAGCTAGGGGAAGAGATAAATACACTGGAGGGCAGGGACAGGGTCCAGAGTGACCTAGGCAAATTGGAGGACTGGGTCTAAATAAATCATGAGGTTCAACACGGACAAGTAAAGAGTCCTACACTAAGGATAGAAGAACGCTATGCACTGCTACAGGGTGGGGACTGACTCGTTAAGCAGCAGTTCTGCAGAAAAGGACCTGGGGATTACAGCAGATGAGAAGCTGGATACAAGTCAACAGTGTGCCCTTGTAGCCAAGAAGGCTAACAGTGTATTGGGATATACAGGCAGTCCCCGGGTTACGTACAAGATAGGGACTATAGGTTTGTTCTTAAGTTCAATTTGTACGTAACTCGGAACTGGCTCCAGATTCAGCCGCTGCTGCTGAAACTGACCAGGGGCTGACTACAGGAAGCCCGAGGCAGAGTTGCTCTGCCCCCAGCTTCCT